TTTCTCTGTCTCTTGATCATTTCTTGCTAGGCATTTATCAATTTTGTTAGCATTTTCAAAGAATCGACATTTTTCGTTGTTAATTGTCGTATGCTTGCTTTCTATCTTATTTTTATTATTTGCTCTTTTCTCCATTCTTTGAGTGTATGTTGCTAATTTCTTCCTATATATTTGAGATAGAAGCTTAATCTATTTTCATAATTTCATCTAATGTATGCATTAAGATCCAGATATTTTTCTTAAAACAGTGATTTAGCTGCTTACCACAAATCATGAAATGTCAATATTCATTTTCATTTAAGAATGTTACCTAATATGCATTGAGATTTCTCCTCTAACCAAAATGGCATTGAGAACTGTGTTGCTTAATTTCCAGATATTTTAAAAATTTTCTAATTATCTTTCTGTTGCTCAGTTCTAGTTTAATCCACTGTGGTCAGAACACATACTCTAAATGATTTCAGTTCTCTGAAATTGTATTTGCTTTATGGCCCAATATGTTCCGTTTTGGTAAATTCCATGTGACCTTGAACAGAATGTGTATTTTGCTATTTTTGATGTAATGTTATCTCTATGTCATGTTGATTGATTGCATTGTTAAATATTCCACGTCCTTGTTGCATTTTCTTTTTTCTGCTTAGTCTACCTGTTACAAGAGCATATCAACATGGCTGTGGATTTATTATCCCTTCTAGTTCTACCAACATTTATTTTATGTATTTTCTTGTATGTTATTAGATATACAACTTTAGCTATACTTTTAAAAAATTACCATTTTTTCATTATAAAATACCTCAAACTCTAGTTATTACATCTTGCCTCACAATCCACTTTGCCTGATATTTGTATAGATCTCTCTTATTTAAGTTAGTGTTTCCATGGAGTATCTTTTTTCCATTCTGTTGCCTTTCAACCTCTCTGTGTCCTTATATGCGAAGACTCAACAGACAGCCCTGGAATTTTACCAAGGCTACTTATCCTTGGTGGGCCCTGAACTTAAATATTTTTCCAAAGCCCTTAGTCTGTCGAATGCTCGGCTCAGCTGCTCTCCCTTTTAGCTAGTACTTTTGCTTTTGGAATCTCCCAATTTCCTTAAAGAGAAAAATCACCACAAACACGGGCTGACCTTGCTTACTATGTTTTTCTCCCCTCTCCTGGATACTGATTCTAAAAGGCTGAAAGTCCCCTTTTGCTTTGTAATTCTGTTATTTCCAACTTTTTAAAACATTTTACCCAATTTTTCTAGGTGTTCTCGGAGTTTTCATGATCTGAACAAAACCCAGGCCGTTACTACTGGAAGTGTAATTTCTTCTTCTAATAATAAAAGGGGTGGGTCTAACACAGTCCCATTAAAAATGTTTTCTGTAAGCTTTTCATTAATTTCTCCCCTTAAATTCATTTCTCCTTCCTTTTCCTTTGTTTCATTGCTGTTCTCTAATTTCTTTTGATGCTTACCCTATTTTTTTCTTCGTTCTGTTTGAATAGCCTATGAAGGCTATATACTTCCCCTAAAAGCAACCCACAAATATTTAGTACACTCACAAAATTTGAGCTGCTCAGTCAGTACTTTTAGTTCTATGTAATTAGAACTATCTTCTAGGTTTTATTTTGATTGATTTTTTGATTCATAAATTATTTCAAAATCTGTCACATAATTTTCTAGTTATCTTATTATTGTTTTCTAGATTCATTTTATTATAGACAGAGAAAATAAAATCAAAGTTTTTCTTTTTTTAATGGCCTTGCATTTGGTCGGACTGTGTTTACAACGTTCTTGAAAAGAAATTCCTATTCTTAGTTATTAAATACAACATTTTATGAAGGCAAATTGGCTTTGTTTTTTAGTCACATCATCCAGATGATCAATAGTTTCATTAATTTGGTAAAGTTTTGTTTATACGGCAGTCTTGGTTAAGCTGGAGCTGTAATTCCCAGAAGTCTTTTCCTTAGATGGTGTCAGTGAGATTTGCAAAAGAGGCAGACAGAAGTGAAGCAGCTGCTATTTCCCTCTGGAGATCTTTGCAGACAGATAGACGAAGGACACACAGACAGGAGTCTGGTCTCACTCTTCTCCACTTCATGTCCAGATCTTGCTGACCAGCAGGGAAGCTGGGCTGCAAACTCACAGAAGTAGCTTTAGGGAAGCAATGACCTTCCAAAGACTCCTTCATTCGCCCTCCTTCCCAGTCTCACTTCAGCTCTTGAATATCCGGTAAGTGCTCCAATTTGTCCACCAACCACAGTGTTCCAGGAGAGGTGAACAGTGCCTTTCTCTGACCCTCCAAATCTCCCTTCGACACCATTGCTTCCCACTTTCACAGTTTCAAAAGTCCTATTTTTCTATAACAAATTCTTTATTCTATAATATTCATAGTTTCGCTGTCCTGATTAAATTCCTTCAACTTAAAATGTGTCTTTCTTACAGAGAATGTGATGGAGTCACCTTGACTTCTGACCAGTGTGCACTTTTCTTTTCTTGAATATACTGGTAAAAGTAAATATATTTTATTTTATCCTCTCTCTTTTTTTAATTAAGTAGAAACTACAAGTCTAGGGCTCTTAAGGTATAAGATTTGGATTACTTCTGCACACTGCAGAATTAGAACAGTTCTATGAACTTGGAAATCCCTAGTCTACCTGCCTTGACATACCTCCTTGATGAATTGGAATGACAAGTTTGAGAGTTATTATGAAAAAGTGCTTTAGGCCAGGAAATGTGGCATTCTGAGGAAATTCTTGAGTAAAATGTAACTTGGGAGATTTTTTAATGCTCTTCTCCCAAAGATTTTGTTCCTAGAGATCTGTGATAGGACCAAGGGATATGAATTTCTCACAAATATCCCAGATAATTCCAAGGTATGTGGATGTGGGTTTCTTTTTCAGAAAGATGGGATTTTTATTCACAATATATCTCAACATACTATTTTTCTCCTGGGGCTTTCTATTCACCTTTATCAACTTCCCAAAGTAGAAAAAAATGAAGAGGCAAAACAACAAAAAGTACCACTTCCTCCAAATTTTCTGGACCATGCAGCCTCTTATTTTGAGGAATTTACATCTCTAAATGTCACAAACATGTAATCTGGTGAATCAAACATGTTACATGTAATGCATTTAATGTTTCTAAACAAAAAGAGGCTTAAAAATCTTTTGAGAGCACTCAAATTCAGAAGAATTACATCAAAGTTTACTGTAAGAATAAACTGAATTCATGTCAAAATATTACTTTATTCACTGCATGAGTTTGAATCTCTTGAGATTTACATACGTGTTACTAAAGAGCAACTTTCCCTGTGTAACCCCATACACATCTCCTCGGGGGAGGGGGAAAAAAAACCGAAGAAAGAAAAGAAAAAAGAGCACTTATTTTCTTGGTTAACCATGGCACAAAATCACTTACAGGAAAGACAGACATTCTTAGTCAAATGTTTTTTGGGGGGGAATGGAAGAAGGTATCTCATATACATTGAACTGTGCTATTTTTTAATATTCTCATGAATTTTTACATAGTTGGAATAACTGACATACTTGAATTATCACACATAAAGCAGAAGAGTAAAAATTTGTCTAGAAAAAGAATAACATGGTGAATCGTGGTAGCGGACTTCAAAGCCTAGCCAATGGTACTTCTGGAAATGCTCTTTTCCCTGTTAACATTCTTTGATAACATAATAACTATTGCTAATTAAAAACAACTATTATAGAGAGGTTCTTTCAAAACCGTAATTCCCCTTTTGAATGGGCAGTACAAACTCCTCACCCTCGACTGTAGTCAATCAACAGAGATTCACAGCTGCACATAGCACCTGACGGTACAAAATCATTTGGGAATCCAAGTTTTACTTTTGACCTGGAACAGTTTTCAACTTGAAACATCTTTGGCTTTCTCTCATCCTCACTAAGATGGCTTAGGGGAGACGTTCCTCTTACCACCCACAGCTGCACCACGCTTCCTCCACAAACGTCTTGCCCATGGAAGCATGCATAGCTTTAGAAGGACAGAACTCTATCTCATTCATTCTCTGTCCCTCCTCTTATCATCTTCGTTCCATCTTCTCCTTGATAACTTGCTTAATGGCTTAGTTAAGAGAAGAATCTTAAAGCCAAGAGGAGTCATGGGATGCAGCAAAAATAGGACAGCATTCCATCTAATTAAGATATTCCCTTCTTGATGGATTCCTCTAAAATAAATGTTTTGAAGAGGATTCTTCTTCTTGTGTGCAAAGAAAAACTGATGAAGGAAAGGATTAGAGATGACATTTGAAAGAGTTATGTAATTTGTTTTGTTTTGTTTTGTTTTTGCACTTAAAATTATTTCAAGTAAAATCTCAAAATCCCAATGTTTCCTGGGACATTTCTGAAAAAAATAAGTATGGATTTGATCGGATGATAAAAACATCAGCCATGATGATAAATACCAACTTACATTTGGTAGTCAGGTGCTCTTAATTCAGCTCTCCCATAATAACATGAGTTTAATTAGATAAAGCAAATCTACCTGAATTGATTTGGCTTTAGATTTTGGTTAGCAAGCTTTTATGAAAGTGAGGGATACTTGTATCTCATTTTAAAATCTGTGAAACAAGGAGAAATTTCTTGGTAGAAAATGGAAACATGGATACAAAGTATTTGTCAACATTTTAAAAGGAAATATCTACCAATCATAGGAACTATCTACTTGTCCTAAAACTATTTCCTCTCTTGCTAGTTTCTCCATACATTCTAGAAACCCGACGCTGGAGTTGGTTTGTTTTCAAGATTGCAGTGTACAGATAACTTTGAGTTAAATTTGTCTTTATTTATCTTAACGCTCTAGGTCTATAAATACCGTTAAGCCATACAAACTAAAACTTATATCCAAGAAACCAATTTCCACACTCTTCCTTATTTTTATTAGCACCTAGGAAGAAAGCAACATGTATGAACTGTGCAAAGGGACAACACTGTAGTAACAGAGTTTGATATGACAAGCCAAAGATACTGCATCTGTGGCTTATTTCATAGTAACCCTGACTGGTGTTCTCAAGCAAGAAATAAGTCTCCTCCTCCTATGAAATCATTCTTTAATGAGATCATTTTAAATTACACAAAAATGTTTTTTATAAAATCTACCCAGTGGATGACAAGTCATTACTGCCAATATTGGGGTAACTGTCTCATGGTTTTGTAAAATTCATAATCCTCATTTCTACATGCTTAATATTGATCATTATTTAATACTACCTGCCATATACTTAATATTGGCAATTCTACAAAAATGTATTAGTATCAAATAATGAAACTGCTTTAAAAAATATCTTGTGATAAAGTTTCTTCTTTGGTATGCAATTAAAAAAACACTATTCTTTTGGAACTGAAGTGTAATTTGAAGCTAGAGATGCAAGTACTATATCTGAACAGTATCTCTCACTTTATAGTGTTAAAAATATATACTTTTTTTTATGAGAAAGAAGAACTGATGTACATGTGCCATGGGCCTAAGTATGAGAGAAATAATGCAATTAATTTTTTTCCACTTAGCTATCAAATCCATCACCCCCTTCTTACTTGGTTGATCTACTTTTGGTGTTAAACTCTGTGACTGATGTTAAATTGACAATTTCTCTAAAACAAGCTAAGATTTGAGATGCCACATCACGTCAGATGAACAGCACAACCACTTCTTGTGTGTCAAAGGCATAGGGAAAAGGCACTGAGCTTGTATGAAATGATGCATCAATAGAAAACAGTGTAAACTCATTAAAAGATTCAAGATTGCTTTAAACAAAGAGATCAAATTTCATAAACAACTTGTACCTAACTTATACAAAGAGCTAATACTCAAACAGGCTTCATGATGCAAAATACGCATTGTAGAAGAAAAATGATTTTTAAAAATAATTCAACGATTTTTTTCAGATTAAGGTCAATAAATTAACCAATATTCATTGTCTTGCGTTCGTTAACTACTAAGAAGACACATTTACTTCTCTATAATAGCTTTCATTTACTTGAAGAACTGAAGCAACCTAACAACTTCTTAATGCTGTTTTCCAGATAAGACAATTCAGCCTTGAAACTACTGTTACCAAAATGTTGTCTTTAAAGAACAGAGTTGTTAAGTCTTTTGTTGAAACCCAAATGTTCAGTCTCTTGAAAAATCAATTGTGCATTGACCTGGAGGGGGAATCTGGGATTCTGATGGAAGTTTAACTTAACTTAGGATGATTTCAGGAACAAACCCATGCCATGATATCTACCCAACATTTTTAATATGTGAGTTTTCTTAAGTCATCTGATTTTGGTTTTTCATTCACATAGTCTGCGATGGCAGGATATACATGGCTCAGGGGGCCTCTTCACTTCCTTTCTTTTTGTCCCAACATTTTTCTTGATGGGAAGGAGTTATAAAACAACCCAATAGAAGACCATGAAAATGTGCAGATGCACTGGAACGTGATGGGGCAGCCCAGGTCCAGCCTTTAATTCTAAACTGCAACATTCCATGATTTTCCAATATCCTGATTCAACATGCCCTTTTAACAATCATTTCTAGAACTCCAGAAAACAGTATCTGGGAGAGCTCAGCCAATGAAGTAGACAAGTGGTATTCTTCCAATCTCACAAAGGTGGCCTCTGTAGAAGTGTACAAAAACTCTGAATTAAAAAAGAAGGAAGAGGAGGTGGGGTGAAATTGACACATGCCTTCTGGCCTCTAGCCCAAAACCCAGGGAAAATCGTGAAGCCAGACAGGCAACCAGTTGCTTGCTCATTATGTTGATTAGACTGCTGATTTAGCCAGTTGTGCTTTGTTTTCCTGAATCAAGACTTGTTTGGCAAGTTCGCTAGAATTAATTCTCAAGTTCTCTTTTAATTTGTTAAGCTCAAAGTCATGGAGAATCTTGATAGTCATTAACTTTTCTCGCTTGATTCTGTCCAGAACATCTTTTGGAACATCAGGGATCATCCAGGCCAACAAAAATTTAACTAAAAACACAACATGCTGGAGGAAACATAAGAGAAAATCAAGGACACTGTTAGACTTGTCAAATGTTCAACGGGAAATTCTTTTTTTTAGTATATGTGCTGCCGAAGCGAGCACTCAACGGGAAATTCTTACAAATCATTCATTCAATAGACCGTGCTCAACAGAGAAGGCATGAGGAAAAGCAAAACGATATGGTTCCTGTCCTGGAACCTTCCCAGAAAGACAAACATTAAACAAGTAAATATATATGAAAATGTATAATTATAGAAATTCCAGTTGATCATGGTTATTGAATATGCCCTTTATCTGTGCTCACTCCTGAGGACCTAATAAAATATTTGTAAGGGAATTTTAAAAAATGGTGTAACTCACAAAGACAAAAAAAAAAAAAGAGGGAACAGTGATAACAGACTCAAGAGAGTAAAGAAAGCTGGCACTTAAACTTGCAATTGGTGATATGATGGTGGTAAATCCCAGCAAGTCAAAAGCCAACTTTGTTTAGATCTTCAATAAAGCTCAAGAAAGATGGTCCTAAGGACTTTGAAAGCATACATGTGCGTGGAGTTGAAAACCAGAGGATTAGCCAACATTTGGTATAAGGAAAAGTTGGAATTTTCAGGACCTCTCTCCCATCGTCATCTGGGTACTACTTCTCTCCAACCTGGCAACAAATGAGTAATTTACTCTGTGCAGCAATCAAAACAGAAAGCTGTGAACTCAGGAGCACCAGAGACAGTGGAGGACGGAGGAGTGGCGCCATACTGAAAATAGGGCCACTAAGTGAAATTCGGTGAATCCTAAGATCCTTAGTCTTCTTTGTCTTGCTCAGCTCTCAGAACACAGGCAGCCATAAAAGAGATCAATAGAAAGGAGTTCGGAGGATTTTTCTCTGGGAAAACTAAGTAGTCTGTGAAATTGGAACTGCAGATACCAAATTTTGTAGGTTTCAAATGAAAAGGTCCCCTCACTACCTCATCACCCTACAGTGAAACCTACCAAGTGACATTCCTCCTGTATGCACACAAAGCGTACAATCAGCTTTCATTTATTCACTCTTAAGTATGAGCAGATTGCTAAGAATCAGCAAATACGTAAGAAAGTCTCTAATGCAAAAGAAAAAGATTGAAACGGACAAACAGAAACTAAGAGGAAACAGAGATAATGAAGGAGCAAAAGAACAGCAGAATAAAAAGACAAAAACATGAGTTCATCTATTTATAGGAGAAAATAATTACAATTTCAAAACAGGAAGTATAACACCTGAGTAATAGAACTTCCAGAAGACAGAATAGAGAAAAGAAGGAAATAATTAAAAAAAATATGTACAAGCAAATTTTCTCAACTTGAAGGGTAAGTACATTTTCAGATCCATAGGGCTCAGTGAGTGTCCAGAAAAATGAGTATTACCCAATAACAAGAAACTGTCTTGTGATGTTTCATAAAAGAAGGGACTAGTGAGAGAATCCTTAAAGCTTACTAATTTATAAAAAGATCATAAACAAAGACTGGGGAATTGGAATGGTATTGCATTTTATAACAACATTGAAGCTGACAGAAAATAGTGCAATGTCTTCAGAAATGTCAGGAATACCTAAATAAAGTTGGCTGAAAATTTTTCAGGGAAAATGACTTTCAATCTTGAATCCTATACCATTTAATCATCTCTGAGGAAAGAAAAGAAATGTTCAATATTCAAGGTCTCAACAAATAACCACCCATAATTTTCCTCAGAAAATTACTGAAAAATGTACTTCATCAAAATAAGCTAGTAAACCAAGAATGGGAGAAACACAGACCACAGAAAATACAGTTTTCAATACAAGAGAAGGTGAAGAAAAGTCCCAGGATGATAGTGAGTCAGAGCCTGGCATAATTACAAACATTAATAGAATAATGAATAAAAATAAAAAAATCCCCGGTGCAACTGACCAGACTGAAAGGTGATCTAAACTTATGATGGAAAATATGGGAACGAAAGAGTGATAAAGTCATAAAGAACAGAGAGAGAGAGAAGAGAGAAGAAAAATATGGGGAGGGGGATACATAAGACTGCTCTCTTGTTCATCACGTAGAATTTGTGTGTGCTTGCATTAGACCTGACTACTACTGAACTTCATGGCAGAGTGAAAAAAGTGCCTTACCTTTATTTCTGTCTCCTTTATTGGCCCTCATGTCTTCTGATATAGCACGTCACTCTGAAACTTACCCACATCCCCCACGTGTATTTGTTCTGTTTTAATGCTTGTCCTATATCCATAATAAGATTAGATATTCCACAAAGGGGCAAACATAATACAGTGGACAGAGCAGATGCTTGGGAGTGATACATCTGGCATCAAAACCCAATTCCAATATTAGCTGATTATCTTTAAACCCACTGCCAATTCTGCTGAGTCTCAGATTCATTTTTCAAGAGTGAATAATAAAGTCTAACTTACAAGGTTATTATTAGTGTCTGGAACCAGTATGTAATAGCTATTCAGTAAAATCCGCGCGTTCTCGGTCCTTTTCCTGACCTCGAGGAAAGAGGCCCCATTTCTTTCTTTCTTTATGTCACCCTGATATCTTCAACAATAGTAGGTGAATAACAGGCAACAACCCATTGTACTGAAAATATCCCTAAGTTGCTCTTCAGGACAACGAATACTTCCTTCGAAACAATTTACTGAGATAATACTAATTTTCTGCTGAGCAGATACCTTTAGAAATCTGAAGGGAGAAGACAGACTAACTGGAAGGCAAGTTACGAGAGGCTTACTTCCATAACGATGATGAAGGTCATCTTGGCAGCGAGGACATGCCAGTACTGCATATTATGAAAATATTTCTGATCATGATCAGGAGGATATCTGTAATCTCTATACCTGAAAAACAGAGGTAAATAAAAAAAAAAATTAGCTATAGCTTCAAATAGAGACCTAGCATTATTTCCCTTAAGAGACACTTTTAATTGACTACAAAAGTAAAGTCACAGGAAGTTAACTGCTATTATGATACATTTCATTTTTGCACAGATAAAAATCATGGCTACATGTTACTTAAATATAGTTTGGTATAGCAGGAGACACAAGTGAAACTTCTCTCCTGCCCTTCAAATTTCTCAAAAGAGTCAGCAAAATTAATCTGTCTCCATTCACTCTCTTGCTACTCCTTAACACACGTAGTTCTATCCACCACTCCACTGAAACACATTGTTTCCTGTCATTAAACTGAAGAAACATGCTAATCTCCATCTTTTGTGATCTTTTGAGAATAGGACTTGACATTGTTGACTGTTTTTTTTAAAACTCTATTTTCTTTTGGCTTACCTGATACTGCATTGTTTTTATTTTTCTTACTATTCTTCTGGATTTTCTTAGTGCTCAACTTTGTAAGCTCAGTTTTCTAGAAAGTTGCTAGACATTGATATTATTCAAAGATTTAGTCCAACTAGGAAGTGATGAAATCAAGAAAATGGACACATGTCCATGCTCGTAAACACTATATTATGATTCCTCTATATGCAAATCTAAAATCTAACAATGGTTTGGTCTACCTGTGTGTCTACCAACATTTTGCTGTCTCTTGCTGTTTCCCAGATGAAGTAATTTGCTTAAGGGTTTAAGTTAAGTGGTCTTGATATACTAGATATGTATTATATACGATATATATAATCTTTATGTCATATGTATTTATTATATACAATCTTTAAATCATAGAGTAAAAATGGGTGCCTGGGTGGCTCAGTTGGTTAAGCAACTGCCTTCGGCTCAGGTCATGATCCTGGAGTCCCAGGATTGAGTCCCGCATCAGGCTCCCTGCTCGGCAGGGAGTCTGCTTCTCCCTCTGACCCTCCCCTCTCTCATGTGCTCTCTCTCTCATTCTCTCTCTCAAATAAATAAATAAAATCTTTAAAAAAAAATCATAGAGTAAAAAGACCCTCACAGTACATGAGACGCTCAGTATGGAAACAGGTTCACAAATCTAATTTCATGCTCCCTGCATGGAAGAAACCCTGTACATGGGATGGATGATGAGTTTACCATATTATTTCTCCTTTTCTCAGTCTATCTCTTTTTAAGAACATATAGTTAAATTCAAGTAGGTTAAATGCAGATATAATATGATCATGCTGTATGATCTAATAGATATTTTATCTTGGGACAAAGGGGCATTTGTTGGTGAGAAATCTCTCCAATAAACTTAGAAAATAAGAAACAATTCAAAATTGATATTATTTTTATCCATAATATTCTTTTACTTTTAAACATTCTACTTTTCCAAATCAGATTCATACGATGAGTGAAGTCTAAAATTGATGCACTTGACCCAGGATATTTATTGCCCTAAGTAAATCCTTTGCATCTCAAGCCATGGAGGGCTTAATAAAACTGAAAGCTAGAAATCAAGAGGAAACCTGCAAGTGATGAAGTCTCGTTTTTCCGAAGGTGCAGTGTGGTTTGGAAAATCAGCTATGAGGAATGTTGACAGGCTGTCATTGACATATCCTCTCATGGGCTCAGTGGCATCCGTTGAGTAGGCATAGTAGTAAACTAAACGGGGAATGATGTCCGATGTAAATGCAACAATAAAAGCCTGAAAGACAAAGCAAGAGGGAAATCTTGAGCTAACAATCTAGTTTTTAAAACGTCTGATTTACATACCTCTCCGTTCCATATGGATGCAAATGATTAAAATGCTATCACAAATTAGGTTAATATAGGAGTCTTTGGCCTACAACATGAAATAGTCCTTTTCAAGTGTCTGATTAGTACTCCAAGATTTCCCAGCTAGAGAGCGGCCAAGTTGAAAACTGAACCTAAATGTATCTAGCTCCAAAAATCATGCTCTCTCCACCATGCCTTGTTATTTTTTACATCTGTTTCAAAGCACATTTCTACTGTCCTTAACCAAATTCATTTGCCTGAATGAACTTCATTAGCTAGGATGGTATGTGTATACGTGTCTGTGCACGCATGTACGTGCCCTCACACTGGTAGGGGATTGGTGGAGAGGCAACGGAAAGAGAGAAGACAATGTGATGGTTAATTTCCCACAGTTCAGTGCAATTAATTTCAATATTTGATTCTATAGGAATGGTATTTTCCCATCCTTCCTTACTAAGCTCTGGAATGGTATAAATACCATGTTTCTTATAGGTTAGGTAAGTTCATTTAAAGCCATCTGGCTCTGCCTTCTACATTTTTAGTGGGAGGTTGTTTTGTTTTGTTTTTGTAAAGATTTTATTTATTTATTTGAGAGAGAGATAGTGGGAGAGAGTATGAGCAGGGGCTAGAGGGAGAAGCAGGCTCCCCACTGAGCAGGGAGCCCAAAGCCCAGGGGGCTGGATCCCAGGACCCTGGGATCATGACCTGAGCCCAAGGCAGACACTTAACCGACTGAGCCACCCAGGTGCCCCTTAGTGGTAGCTTTTTAAAAAACTTTTAATACTACTTTGATAGCTACTGGTCCAATCAGGTTTTCTATCACTTACTGAATAAACTTTGGCAGTTTTTATTTTCTAAAAAGGTGACAATTTCAAATAGATTTTAAAATTTATTGGAATAAAGGAACATATAACAGTCTCATAATTTTCTCACCTGTATCTTGTAAGTCTTTTTTTCTTGCTGGAGATTTTCAGAGTTCTGTTTATTTTATACATATTTTCAATGAACCAACTCTTGATTCACTTAGGAATTATACTGCTTTTTATTTGTTTTCCAATTTGACTATTTCTGATTATATCTCTATTAATTATTTCTTACTACTTTCTGTTGATTAGTTTTATATTTTCCTTAAGTTTCTGAACTCATGCTCAGCTCATGCTTTCAAGTCCTCTTTTTTAATAATAAAAGCATTTATTGCTATAAATTTTTCTGTAACTGTGGTTTTAGCTAGTTCCTATAGGTTTTCATTTTAATTAAGTATTCTTTATATTTCAATTTTGCTTCCTCTTTATATAGTAAAGCTTACTTAGAAGTGTGAATGTTAGGTGGTTAGATTTTTTTTTTAAATTATCTTTATTATCAACTTCAATTTTTATACCATTATTGTATATAAATATATATTGTAAAAATTTCTGCTTTTGGGGAATTTAGTTTTATTATCATTTTTTTAATAAGTGCTCCATAAACATAACATGTAAATGTTGTATATTCTCTATTTGTCGTATACAACATCATCTATAATCAAGCTTTAACTGTATTAGTCAAATCTATAGCATATTTATATATATAGCTATATTTATATAGCTCAGGTCATGATCCCAGGGTCCTGGGATCCAGCGCCCTGTGCACTGGGCTCCCTGCTCAGCGGGGAGCCTGCTTCTCCCTCTACCCCCTGCTCATGCTCTCTCCTGCTCTCTCTCTCTCTAATAAATAAAATCTTTACAAAAACAAAACAAAAACTACCACTAAAAATGTAGAAGGCAGAGCCAGATGGTTTTAAATGGACTTACCTAACCTAAAAGAAACATGGTATTTATACCATTCCAGAGCTTAGGGAAGGATGGGAAAATACCATTCCTATAGCATATATACATATTTTCTGTCTACTTTGTCATGTGCTATGAAACTCTATCATGGTATTTCAAGGAGAGTGGTTTTACAGTTTTCCTTGTATTTCTAAGAGTTTGCATGTCCTAAATTTCTCTATGTTGTTTAGTGCATAAAAGTGTAAGGATGGGGGGCACCCGGGTGGCTCAGTTGGTTAAGCATCTGATTCTTGATTTCGACTCGTCACGATCTCAGGGTTGTGAGACCAACCCTGGTGTCAGGCTCTGTGCTGGGCGTGGAACCTGCTTAAGATTCTCTTTCCCTCTCCCTCTGCTCCTCCCTCCGACCCCCATTCACCCACATGCTCTCTCTCTCTCTAAAAAAAAAATAAAGTGTAGGGATGATGTATCGTTATGGACTGTCACCATGATGAAGTTAACACAGGAAAAGACTGAGTTAATAAGCATCATTCATATCTTCCCACCCCCAAGAAAACAAAATAAAATAAAATACAAAGCCACCCAAGCACAATTGGTCCACTTACATTAGTTGCAACAGAAAGGACAGCCATTCCATAAAGAATGTCTTGCCAAACACCTATGCTGTGAGCTTTAGCAGCAACGGGTCTCCTGTACTGAGTCGTAAGTTTCCAGGCGTCCACTCGGATCTCTATAATATTATTCAAGAGAGCAAGAAGAGGAGCCAAAGGAAAAGAGGCCACAAATAATGTAACAAATCCAAACTGGATAACTGTGGGGAAAAAAGAAAAATTAGTCAACTCATTATTGTGAAGGAGAAAAGGGGGAAGACTTTGCCCAAATCCTGCAATGTCCTCATTTTGGAGGGATCTACACCAGCAAAACACTCCAGGCCTCTTTCAATTTGCCTGCTTCCTCTTCCCCACTGGGAGCATAGCGACTTAGTTACTGGCTAGAACAGAAAGGAGAAATTGGGCATGTACAGCACAGTTCTGTCCTTGCTGTTTCTTTGGACATCTGCTTGTCAGATGATGAAGATGTCAGAGATGAAGAAAGCATCTCTTCTTGTTAGGGAAGAGATTCTCTTTATTCTTCTTAAAACATACCATTTTATTAGGGGCTATGTTTAGCTCTATGCTGGTCTAGTCTTAACACTGGTAGTGACACATTAGTGGGGTAATCAAGTTTTTCTATCTTGCTAAATCTATGAGATCAGGGATAATGACCGATTCATTTGCATGCTTCCAAGAGCCAGCATGTATTGGGCATATAAACATATCCAACTACAACAGTGTACAAACTATACTGTTAAAGGTTTGAAGACGCTAAGAATTGAAAAGGCAGTGCAAAGGAAGATATCTGAGAATAAACCAGAAAATAAGTCATCTAAAGCATTACAACATATATAAATTACATGTGGGACAAGGAAATACACAATTTTTTGGAATGAGGTGTTTGTTAAGGTCCTGATCCTCTATCCTATCTTGACATCTTCCTAAATAAATTTTATTCTCTTTCCTCATTAAGACTTAACACCTAGGGCGCCTGGGTGGCTCAGTTGGTTAAGCGACTGCCTTCGGCTCAGGTCATGATCCTGGAGTCCCAGGATCGAGTCCCGCATCGGGCTCCCTGCTCAGCAGGGAGTCTGCTTCTCCCTCTGACCCTCTTCCCTCTCGTGCTCTCTAGCTCTCATTCTCTCTCTCTCAAATAATAAATAGATAAAAAAAATTCTTTAAAAAAAAAAAAAAGACTTAACACCTATGTAAGTTAGCTTCTTTTCCCATTTTTGTTCTTTTGTTTCCAACAATGACGGAGGTACAAGAATGCATTCAACTGGCAGTCCGGGCTTCCCACGTGAGTGGAAACCATATAATAAGAGATACGGGAATGGCTTTCCACTGAAGGGAGAAAGAAAGACTCTTCTATTAGCCCTCTATTTTTAGATGAATCTCAAGTGTTTCTGGATTTCAACTTTTCTCACAAGAGTTTCTCAAAAGAATTAGCCTTGCCATTTACTAACCCAACTGAACACCTCTACTGAAAATTCAGAGGAAGCATTATGTAGAAACAACTCGAATCTTCTGGGTTCAAATACCACATTTTACTTAAAAATCTTTGTGGCACATGGCCACAAAATTGACCCATCCAAATTTCAGTATCCTCTAAAACAAAATGCAGTGAATAATGAGTACTCTGTGGAATGTTTCAAGATTAGTGATAATGTACATAAAACATCCAGAATAAACTAACTCAGCTGTGCCTCAATAAATGGTAGTTAATTTTCTTATGAAACCTTGATTTCATTTTTTAATTGCAGCGATAATCCCTAATGCATTTATGCACAAATGCATTTGATACACAATTAAAAATTACAGCCCTATCATCCTATAAAGTGAGGACTGCCCAATTTTACAACCAGCTATATGAAACAGACTTCTCTCAATTTGTCCTAAATTCACCTATTTCAATCCAGGTATCATGTATATTTATCACAGTGGAGAATCAGTAGCAATTTCAGGTCATTTTTTCATTCCACCATACTTTTATGGGCCCCGAGAGTAAGTAAAGCAAAATGTCCTCCTTAATTCTACCAGAGAAGCAGAGAAATAACTTGAGAGGAAACATTTAAGTAGACTTTACAAGCAGTCTCCATCATCATCCCTCCTAATATTTCACCTCAAAATCTCTCTGTTCAATCCTCAGCATTTTTTATGCATTTCTTGTCTTCAACATAAACTTCCCCTACACAACTGCTTTTAGTCCGCTTCTTTTCAGCCTGAAATTAAAGGACTTACACTAAATGTATGTCAGGCTCTGGACATGTCTTTCAACTTACTCTCTCTCCGGGCTGTCAGTGAGGCAAACAGGAGAGCTATGCAAGCTAATTTGAGACAGGAGTTAAAAAGTGATCCTTACTTTATTTGGTTCAACAATCTTAACATTCAGTTGATAGGAAATACCCCTCTAACATTGCCGTTTTGAAACTCAACTTCATTCTTCATTCTATCTAGCAAGGAATATATCCATCCACCTGTCTTTTCATCCACCATTCAATGGTTTATTGGATACCTACTAGGTGCAAGGCAGGAAAAAATATTAAGAGCTAAAAAAACTCACTTTACTCAGCCTGACTCTTATGTTTCAAGACCGTGGTTAAAAATTACCTGTTTCTAAATACTCATAGAATAGCCCAAGAGATCCAAAAGTTTCAAGGTCATGATCCTGCTCCCATCGACTGTATAGCTTTTCAGAGTTGGTCCGAGCTTTCCGACGTCTCCACCAATTCAGAACCATACTGTTGGAAGTGATAAAAGTAAATACATGATTAGAATTTAAAAGACAGGGGTCAGAAAACCAGGGTGTTAAATCTAGAAATTGGTGGTAAGAGAGGTTAAGTAACTTAAGATCACAGAGCAAAGAGAGTGTAACTACAGCTAAAGTCGAAATAAGAATCTAGCGTTCTTTTTACAACACATGCTGAGGTCAAAGTTTTTTATCGACATATTAAGAAAATAAGACAACCCCGACTCTTCCCCCGGGAATATATTTACTCAGAGACAGTTCTGTTAAAAAGCATGTGGAGGACAGGGTCACCATAGGACCATTTTTTGTTTTTTTTTTTTCTATTTAATTTACTAACCTTTATGTTGTCGTGATACTCAGAAGGATGCTCAAGGAAATGAGAAACTGGTTACAAGGGAAAATATATGACAAAGGAAACACAGAGGCCTATCAAACACATGAAAATAAATGCAATAATCCTAAACAAAATATTGCCTAACTAAATTCCATACTATTTGAAAAATAATGTATCATGGTAATGTTGGATTACTTTAAGGAACAGAAAGGCTTTTTTTTCTATTAGGAAAGCAATCAATGTAATAAATGCCACTAACAGATTTAAGGAGAAAAACATAAAATTATGTTGACTAATGCAGAAAAATGCATTTGATACATTTCAAGTACTATTAAAACCTATTTATGACAGAAAAGCAGGAAAAGAAGGAAATTACCTCAATCTGATCAAAAACACCTACCAAAATCCTGGGGCAAACATCATTCTGAACAGGGAAAAGTTAGAACCATTCTCTTTAGAATCAATAACAAAATAAGACTTTGCATGATCTTAGTCAAGAATCTATTAGACACAGCGAAGGAAACAACCAACAAAACCAACAAACTATAAAAGGCAACATACTAAATAGAAGATATTTGCAAATGACATATCCAATAAAGGATTAGTATCCAAATATATAATGAACTGATATACCTCAACACCCAAAAAACAAATATTCCACTTTAAAAATATCAACATGAACAACCATTTCTCCAAAGAAGACACACAGATGGCCAACAGACACATGAAAAAATGCTCAACATCGCTCATCATCAGGGAAATGCAAATCAAAACCACAATGAGTAATCTCCTCACAACCGTCAGAATGGCTAAAATCAAAAAAGACAAGAAATAATAAGTGCTGGCAAGGATGTGGAGAAAAACGAACCCTCTTGCACTGTCAGTGGGAATGCAAATTGGTTCAGCCACTGTGGAAGACAGTATGGAGGTTCCTCAAAAAGTAAAAATGGAACTACCCTATAATCCAGTAATTGCACTAATGGGTATTTTCCCAAAGAATATAAAGACACTAATTTAAAGGGATACATGCACCCCTGTTTATTGCAGCATTATTTACAGTAGCCAAATTATGGAAGCAACCGAGGTGTCCACTGATAGATAAATGAATGGATGAAGAAGATGTGGTAGGAGCACCTGCGTGGCTCAGTTTGTTGAGTGTCCGACTCTTGATTTTGGCTCAGGTCATGATCTCAGGGTTGTGGGATTGAGCCCCTCATCAGCTCCACGCTCAGTGGGGAGTCTGCTTGAGATTCTCTCCCTCTCTCTCTCTCTGCTTCCCCCCCCCCCGCTTGTTTTCTCTCTTTCTAAAATAAATAAATAAATCTTTAAAAAAATGATGTGATATGTGTGCATACACACACACCATGGAATATTATTCAGCCATAAAAAGAATGGAATCTTGACATTTACAAAAATGTGGATAGATCTAGAGAGCATAATGCTAAGCAAAACAAGTCAGAGAAAGACAAGTACCATAGGATATTACTCATATGGGGAATTTAAGAAACAAAAAGAAAAAAAAAAAAAGAGAGGGACAAATAAAAAAACCAGACTCCTAGCTGCAGAGAACAAATGGTTACCAGAGAGGAGGTGAGTGAAGGAACGGGTGAAACAGGTGAAAGGGATTAAGAGTACACTTATCTTGATGAGCACTGGGTAATATATGGAATTATGGAATGACTACTTTGTACACCTAAAATGAATATAACACTGAATGTTAACTACATAAATTAAAATTAAAAAAAGAAGTCATCTTACGTCAATAAAGTAGCACTATGCCGAGCAAGCGTTATGAATTCATGGTCAATTTAATAAATAATTTTCTGCAAAAAAAAAAAAGAGAGAGAATCTACAGGAGATTTTAGCACAGCAAGATGAAAAAGAAAAAGGTAAAAGGATTGGAAATGAAGAGAAGAAATCTCTGACTCAGATTAACAGTCATGTGAATGAACTGCCTGCTTAGAAAACCCAAATGAAATTAGATAAGAATTATTAGAAAAAATAATGGAGTTTATCTACATATTTTATTTCTACATACCCACAAAACACAAGTAGAAAACATAATTTTTAAAAAGATATCATTTACAATAGCAACTAAGATTGAAAGTACCTTTAGATGGATTTGATAAAAGATCTATAAGACCTATATGCAGAAGTTTAAATCTTTATTTAAAGTCATTAAAGTCCAAAATAAACATTCATGAAATAAAAAGACTTGGTATTACGAAAATGGCAGTTGTTTTACTGAAACAACTGAAAGTAATTTCAATCAAAAAACCAAAATACTTTTCCATGTGGGGTCTGACAAGATGTTTTTAAAATCTGTACAGAAAGACAAAAGACAAAAGATAGCCAATATATTTCTATAGGTGAAGAATAAGTTGGTAAGACTTGACCCACCAGAGATCAAGACTTATTATTAAGCTGTATTAATTAAGAGAGTATAGTATTGGTAACAAGGACAGACAAATCCTGGAACAGAATGGAAATAGTACTAGCCTTGCACTTGCTATATGGCATAAGGTAGTACTGCAGATCATGAAAACTGGAGAAGAGGAACTTCTCAGTAAATGGTAAACACAACAATTACATATCTCTGTGTATGTGGGAAAGAAATTAAATTTGAACTTCATATCAAACACAAAAATCTTTTCCATGTATATTCAAACTTTAAAAGATAAAGACAATAATGTAAAAATGTTAAAAATTTAGAAGTATATGAGAACATCTTTTTGATCTTGGGGTAGGGAAGGATTTATTAAATAAGTCTTGAAAAATGCTAACCCATAAAAAAAAAGATTGGTAAATTCTACTGGATTAAAAGAATATTCTTTTATCCATCTATACCAGAGGTTCCCTAGAGAGTGATTTAGCCCACAAGGGTACATTTGCAATGTCAGAGACATTTTTGGTTGTCACAGCTGGGGAGAAGGTGGGCTACTGGTATCTAGTCTGTATAGAGTCCAAGGATGTGGCTAAATCTCTTACAATGCAGAGGACAGCCCCCTACAACAAAGAATTATCTGGCCCAAATTGTCAATAGTGCTGGGGTTGAGAAATATAAAGAGACAAAATTTATGTTCGGATAACATATACACAACACATATGACCAAATCCCAAACAAAAACAGTCACCAGAAGTTATAAAGTATTCCTACAAATCAATTAGAAAAGGATAAATCGGTAGAAAAATGGTTAAACAACACCAAAAAGCGTTTCACTGAAGAGGAAACACAATGGCTAAAACTGCTCATTCATGTTATTAATCAGGGACATGCAAAATAAGACCAAAGTGAGATATCATTTGTACTTTCCAAATTTGTAAAATTTGAAGTACTATAGCAAATGCACATTAAAATGACACTTACATGCTACTTTATATCCAAACTAAAAGACAAGGAGGAAGGGCACAGAACACCTGAGATTTTTCAGACAATATCAAAAAGATGGGCATACATGGAACTGGAATCACAAAGAAAAGGGGATCACCCAGTTTAAGCAAGAAAAATCTCCCAGGAACCCCAGGAGCACTTCCATTTACTAACTCCTCAGTCCCCACATAGTAACCGTTATCTTGAATTTTATAATAAGTGCTTCCTTGCTTTCCTAAATATGGTTTGATCATCTATGATCCATTTTCAGTTAATTTTTAAATGAGGTGTAAGGTTTAAAACAAGTTTTGCTATTTTGCCAATGGAGGTCCAATTGGTCCAGCATGAGGAGCTGAAAAGACTGTTCTTTCTTCAATGAGCTGCTTTTGCCCCTTTGTCAAAAATAAAATGGCCATATTTATGTAGATTTATTTCTGCAATCCCTACTCTGTTCTGTTAATACAAATATGTATCCTTTCACCAATCCCAACATCTTGATTAATACAGTTTTATAGTAAGCCTTAAAATGGAGTAGTACAATTTTTCCAACTTTATTTTTTATCAGAATTGTTTTGCTTATTTTAGCTCTTCATCTTCTATATAAATTCTAGAATCTGCTTGTCTATATGCACAGAAAGAAATTCTGCTGATATTATGACTTGAATAACAAAACTATATATCAACTTGGGGGCTAACTGGCATCTTTACTAATTTGAGTCTTCCAATATGTGAACACAACATTTCTCTCCATTCATATAGATTAAAAATTTTTTCCCATCAGGATCTGTAGTTTTCAGCATACAAATCCCATATATTTTTTAGACTGATATCAAAGTATTTCATTTTTTTGGTGCTAACTACCTCTGTACTGATCAATGTTTCTCGCACCCCAAACTTTCATTCTGTATTCTTTTCTTGCTCAACTACACCTTTCAGTGACAGTCTATGAACATAAACTCTTGTTTTTTATGTCTAGAAGTTGTCTTTGTTTCACCTGCACTTTATACATTAGTTAAACTGGTTTTAGAAATATAAGGTGCACATTAATTTTACTCAGAATCTTGAAAATACTCTGTCTTCTCTATCTAATGCAAGGAGTAAGAAATCTGTGGACAGTGTAGATGATATTGTTTTTTCTCCTGAAAGATTTTAAGTTTGTTTAGCTCTCATGTTCTGGAGTTACACCATAACGTATCTGGGTGTGAGTTAAATTTTATTTATTTTACTTCATACTCCAAATTCTTTTTCATTTCTGAAACTCATGTTTTTCTTCATTTCTGGAAAATTTTCAGCAATTACCTCTTCAGAGAATTGGTAATGTATCTGGGTGTGAGTTTAATTTTATTTATCTTACTTTATACTCCAAATTCTTTTTCATTTCTGAAACTCATGTTTTTCTTCATTTCTGGAAAATTTTCAGCAATTACCTATTCAGAGAATTGGTAAGAAAGAACTGGTGAAAGAATTTTTTCCTCCATCATTTACTCAATTCTCTTTTTCTGGAACTACTAGTAAGTTAATATGGAAGCCTCTTAATATAATATAGCTTCCTGTCACTTCAATTTTTTTAATCTCATTGTCACTCTGTTGTATTGTACAATGAGGGAATTTCTCAGTACCATTTTCCAAGTCAATAACTCATTCTTCAATTGTGTCCAATCTGCAATCAATGTCATCTACTGTACTCTTTATTTAAAGTACCATATTTCATTTATGTAGAATTGGTTCTTTTTCATATTAATTTGTTCTTGTTTCATTTATATGTTTTTATTTAAATTATTTCCTGACCCTTTTAAATGACAGTATCACCTCCTTTTTATGTTTTTGGTTTTTTTTTTTTTAAGATTTTATTTATTTATTTGACAGAGAGAGACAAAGCGAGAGAGGGAACACAAGCAGGGGGAGCGGGAGAGCGAGAAGCAGGCTCCTGGCTGGGCAAGGAGCCCGATGCAGGCCTCGATCCCAGGACCCTGAGATCATGATCTGAGCCGAAGGCAGACGCTTAAGGACTGAGCCATGCAGGCACCTCCTCCTTTTATGTTTTTAGGCTTTGCCAGAATCTTCTAGCTAGAGTAAGTTCACTTTCTAAAAACTGATTTTGCTAGTAGCCTTTGTAGCATGAAATGTCCTCATAAGTTTTGGAATTTTGGTTCGTAGGCTTAATTTTACTTGCTTCTTTTTTCTTTTACTTCCCTGTGTGTCTCTTTTCCTTTCTGTGAATATTTATTCTCCCTCTTGTGTTTGGTTTAGGAGTTATCCCCATTCTGCCCTCCAGGTTCTCAATCTACAGTTGGGACTTAAAATAATAGCTTAGAATTATTTCTCTATGGTAACTGTGATATGATTTATCACATACTGTTTGCAAAGATATGTCATGTTATTCCTTTGTCAGCACATGAAATAGAACCCCAGGAGAACTACTGAACTGTAGGGAGAGGTGGGAGCAGAAGAGGAGGGTGTTTTCAACCTTCTTTCATGAAGAGGTGAGAATAAACCTAATCCCTACCTTCAAGTACAGTTACACTGGCCAAGTCCTGGTCTCAAGTAGAGCACTTTAGTCCACTTGATACTATAGGTGCTAAACCTTGATGCTGTCATTTCCTAACTAGGAGCCCTGCAAGATGACAGGCTTATGATTCTTTCTCTTTTTATTCATGGAAATTTTCAACTTATATCTGAGATCAACTGTCATTTTGGTTTTCTCTTTTCATAACATATTCATTATTGCTACGCTTTTGGAATAGGAAGCAATCCCTTCATATACCAAAACTTAATTCGTGACCAATTTTTGTACTTAAGTGTGTCCATGTCACAAAAATATTTTTACGGACTTCAACTTTTAGTAATCTTGAGAAGTAATATGTAACATATAGAATAATGTACAGAGGATAAAACATTTATATTTCCCAATGGAATCTCCATAGGAGAGGGAGATACCTTTTCCTCAACTTCACTCAAGCAATAAAAATCCGTATCTAAAAGCCTACATTACATTAGTGCATTCCTAACTGTTGATTAAAAGTGAGTTTTTGTTGAGTTAACCATTTGCTAACATTGATACCATGATAATAAAAGAATTCCATCTTCTTCCAGAGGAAATCTCTCAAGGTTACTTGAATCAAGAACAACTTGTAAGTCATACATACGGATAAATGGCTTCTTTGACATTTCCGAAGATCTGTTTCCCAGTCATTATGATGGTCAACTGGGTTGTCAATTCTATCAGACAGCCTCCAGGATCACACTAGTTAGAAGCAAGAAAAAAAAGAAAAGTGAACGATGAAAGATGGACTTTTGCCAACAAAAGAAATCTCAGTCCTGAAGACTAGAATCTGAAGATTTTGATGGGAATGGATATTAAAGGGATATAAAGAGATATTTAGCTCAATAGTTTCAAGCAGGATCACTAACCAGTTACAGGATAGCTGCATTAGATTCAGATTGCTGGGTCTCATTCTTAGAAAATCCTGAATCTTTCTGTCAGGATCAAGGCCAGGAGTTGTTATTTTCTTCATGTGATTTGGATGCAAGGCAGGTATGGAAACCACTGATGTGGTCTAGCTCTATGACCCATGGGAGAGCCCTTCTTGCTCTACTTCTGGAATGCTATCAATTATCCTTTGCAGGACGCCTTCAGGAATACAGAACTCACTTATCCCATTTCATAGCTCATATTTTATTCCTAGATAATAGGCACAAAATAACTGCTTGCCCCAAAGGAACTGGAAAGTCTACCAGATGACAGGATTGTAAGATCAATACTCTCTGTGTAGAGAGTCAGTGTCTTAGACTTCTCTTAAATCTTGATAAAATCTGAGTTAGTGCTGGGCACCCAACAAGTATTTAGTTAAAACTGAGTTCCTGAAGCCACAAGCCTCTCAAGAGAATTCTTACCTCTTCACTTCTCCATACATTAAACAAATATGTGTATTTTCCGGGATAGCCCACGAACTTCCCTTTAAAGAAAGCTACATAGAAGCAGGACGAGTAAAAATTCACAAACTGAAACAGGAACATTTTCAAGGTAAGACTGCTCTCATATTCCTGGTAAGTTCGAGGAATTTCTGTTAAGTAATAAAACACCAAGGTTAAATTATGCGCCTTCCTGTTTCTCCCTCAATTCTGTATTATCTGGGACAAGTCAGATTATTAGTCATATTATTCTGAGAGCCTGTTGAAATATGACCCACTCTTGTCCTAACAGACCAATATTAAGTAACTACAGATTTGTGCTTGGCTTTCTATTAGAGACTTTGTATTAATCTAATCATGGAGAAGACTAGGAAGCAGTTATTGTTATATTTAGATGGATAAAATACTTCACATGGAGTCACACAGTCAGAATACGGAATTCAACCCTCCTACACTGTTGGTGGGAATGTAAGCTGGTGCAACCACTCTGGAAAACAGTATGGAGTTTCCTCAAAAAGTTGAAAATAGAGCTACCCTAGACCCAGCAATTGCACTACTGGGTATTTACCCCAAAGATACAAATGTAGGGATCCGAAGAGGTACGTGCACCCTGATGTTTATAGCAGCAATGTCCACAATAGCCAAACTGTGGAAACAGCCAAGATATCCATTGACCGATGAATGGATAAAGAAGATGTGGTGGGGGCGCCCGGGTGGCTCAGTCGGTTAAGCGGCTGCCTTCAGCTCAGGTCATGATCCTGCGGTCCTGGGATTGAGCCCCACGTCCAGCTCCCTGCTCAGTGGAGAGCCTGCTTCTCCCTCTCCCTCTGCCTGCCACTCTGCCTACTTGTGCTCTCTATCTCTCTGTCAAATAAATAAATAAAAAATCTTAAAAAAAAAAGATGTGGTATATATACATATATATATATACACATACACACAATGGAATATTATGCAGCCATCAAAGGGAATGAGATCTTGCCACTTGCAACAACGTGGATGGAACTGAAGGGTATTATGCTGAGTGAAATAAGTCAATCAGAGAAAGACATGTATCATATGACCTCACTGATATGAGGAATTCTCAATCTCAGGAAACAAACCGAGGGTTGCTGGAGTGGGGGTGGGGTGGGAGGGATGGGGTGGCTGGGTGATAGACACGGGGGAGGGTATGTGCTATGGTGAGCGCTGTGAATTGTGCAAGACTGTTGAATCACAGATCTGTACCTCTGAAACAAATAATGCAATATATGTTAAGAAAAAAAAAAAAAGGAGATAGCAGGAGGGGAAGAATGAAGGGGGGGAAACTGGAGGGGGAGATGAACCATGAGAGACGATGGACTCTGAAAAACAAACTGAGGGTTCTAGAGGAGAGGGGGTGGGGGGATGGGTTAGCCTGGTGATGGGTATTAAAGAGGGCACATTCTGCGTGGAGCACTGGGTGTTATGCACAAACAATGAATTATGGAACACTACATCAAAACCTAATGATGTAAAGTATGGTAATTAACATAACAAAAAAATTTAAAGAGAAAAAAATAGAATATGGAATTCAAACCCATATCAGACTGGAGAGGCTTATGCTTACCCTGGTATACTTTATGATATCCTGTAAACATATCAGATCTCTCTCTCGTCTGTTGTCAATCACGGTTTAAACAAAGTAAAGGGCATCCTCAAGGGCAGAGGATGGTTTCCAAACTAAATTGTTTTTTCCTCTCATGAATTAAATGGTTATATTAATTTTGAAAAGAATGTCATACAATTGGTGGCAGTAATGATACACTTTCTCTCTTTTATTTAAAATGCATGATCATGATCTAACATTTAGTGAATTCCAAAGATAAAAAATATTAGATTCCCTTCACATCAGAGAGAAGCATCAGCAGTTGTAAGAAAGTCAGGGAGCATGTCTTTCTGAGCTGATAATCTCCCAACAGCATGAGCTGATCTAGCCAAATTGGTGACAGCCTCAATGCTACTGAAATGGTAACACATATTATTCTAAAGACACAGAAAATTCCTCCATTTTAATGAAATTCAGCTGCATTCTTACAAAATCTCTAATGTGTATACAAGTGTCTCACCGAAATTTGTGATTTTTTAGATGCTTTGTTTTTAAGTGCTATCTGCTAGATTTTATTAACCAAAAAAAAAAAAAAAAAGCAGTAAAATTGAGCGAGAACTACAAATTTGAAAATAGAATTTAATAGAAGTTGCTTCCTAGTGCATACTCTGGAGCTCAATGATGATGTGCTCTTTCTGGTTACTGTTGGGCACAACGATGGTGTACTGATTTAGAGGGGGGACCTGAGCATGCGGAGGAGAGGCTGAGGCCTGGAGGGGGTCTCTGATCTCACTTCCAACTTGCTGGGGGCAAGACCAGAAGCAACTGTGCTCCACACTCCTCTCTCTGACTGAATCTCCCACTTAAACTGTGACCTCCTCACGGCTGTAGGAGAACTTTTATTTTTATTTATTTATTTTTTAAATTTTTATTTATTTTTATTTGACAGAGAGAGACACGGCGAGAGAGGGAACACAAGCAGGGGGAGTGGGAGAGGGAGAAGCAGGCTTCCCACGGAGCAGGGAGCCCGATGGTGGGGCTCGATCCCAGGACCCCGGGATCATGACCCGAGCCGAAGGCAGACGCTTAACGACTGAGCCACCCAGGCGCCCCTGTAGGAGAACTTTTAATAATTCAAAAGGAAAAGAGGGGCACCTGGGTGGGGCTCAGTTAAGTGTCTGACTTGACTGGCTCAGGTCCTGATATCAGGGTTGTGGTCTCGCCAGCACCCCCGCCCAGGCTCCATGCCCAGGATGCTTAAGATTCTCTCTCCCTCTCACTCTGCCCCTCCCCACCACAGCATGCACACATGCTCCTCTCTCTCTCTCTCAACATTAATTAATTTAAAAAAGGAAAATAATCCAGGGTCTAAGACCTACGGCAACTGAAAAGAAAAGTACTACATTTTAAATTTACTCAGGAGGAGCTGATTGTTTTGTTTTTCCTGCAATCGTTTTCAAAATCAAATACCTTCCAAAAACCATACACATGAAATAAAAATTATCTGTGTCTTGACAAAAGTCAGGATTTTACTTAAAATTCATCTAGCCCAATCAAGGGAAGATTAAGACAAGAATACTCTGAAAGACCTACAGCATCTTAATTCTTCCATTTAGTTCTTTTTCTTGCTTCCACCATAATGGACCTAAATGTGGCTATTAAGGGAATCTGACTACCAGCCTATGTGTCTACATAGAAAAAAACTGCTTAGCATGTGCCTTTAAAAATAAACTCCCCAAGGGATGGCCCAAAATGGATGTAGAGTGCTGGTAGAACATTTTTTCAGTGTCACACAGATGACCTAGCCAGCTTACCCATTTTTGTAATCCATGCAGATATCTTTTCATAAAAGAAATTCAAGATCAAGATGACGATAAAGTTCAAGCAGGATCCACTGAGTGACGTGGTTATCTGGGGAGTGAGGAAACTTTTGACATGCTTGAAGGATGCTTCACTTTCCATGAAGCTAGCAAAGGTAGCAAACACTGACAGGCGGTACACAATCACAGCTACCATACACGCGATGACAAGGGCCATCTGGAAAAGGGAAACAAGGAATCTATCACCCTGGTCTCCGTGTCTCTGCAATGCGCACACACCTGAAACGTACGACTCTCTTCATCTCATTATGTTAAGGTTAGCCCCTCTCACTTGGGAAGCAGACCAAGCCAGTCTCTCTCACCACAGATGGCAGGAAAAGAACGCTGGCAAGGCAAAAGGGCTGGAGAGAAGACAAGACATATGGTTGTAGTTGGGTGAGTCTAAACCAGACAAGGAGCCATTGCCCATCCTTCAGGCCTGTCCTCTACCAAGCGTTGGAAACTAGCCAGAAGGCCAAATCCTGCCTGCGGCCTTACTTGCTCTTGTATGCTTCTTGAGTTAAAGATGCCTTTTTGCTTTTTTTAAAGGTTATATGGAAAAACAAAGATGATCACATGCAGAGACTATTTGTGGCCCACAAAGCTTAAAATACACATGGCCGCTCCACAATGCAAACTCTGCCCTGGGTTGTAGTTAAACAGGTAGTGTGAAGACCATGTACTTTCCCAAGAAGAACACATTTAGAGATTCTATTTCATTTCCCCTCAGAATGTTGCCATTAGTGTTCTGATATGCCTGGTCATTTAGATATTTGTATAGATTCTACATAAATTTTAAACACTTCCCATATTGCAAAAACCCAAAGATCTGGGGATGCATTAACCTCCATGATTGGAAAATCTGATTGTGAAAGTTGAGGGATTGAATCAAATGGAATGAGTACTAGAAATAAAAGAATAATCTTTCTGGGACCACACTCTAGATTATTTCTCAAGCAGTGCCCTGAATTGATTATTGCTATATTATTAATAGAGTATTATTTACTCTATCACTTCTCCTCAGTGACTGTTATATCATCTAAGAAAACACACATTTAAAAGAGAAAAATCAATACATTTAACTAGAAATGTTAAAGATAAAATATTATGGGATAATATGAACTGTAAGGTTAAATTCTAGTCAACAGCTGCTAATTATTTATACTTCAACATGCTAAACTCTCAGAGGGTTAACACTGCTTCTTTTCCTTAAAATTCAAGGCCATCTGTGAGAGGACACACATTTGGAAAGTTGGAGGGCAGGAAATAAATTGTGGTGATGGAGGAATCTATTAACTAAAAGGCATGGAAAAACCTGACTCCCTCACAATGGGACACGCTAATTAAACTCTTCAAGTAGAAGAAGTACTTTCTTCTATTTATTTCAGGAAGAAAATAAATTCAAGAGTATATGCTTTTCTTGGCATTTTGTGTGGATATTTTAATTGGAGATAAAGATAAATTAATCATTTTTTTAAGGAAACAAAACCCAAATAGCCCGCAAACAAATTATCTGTCACACTGTTCTGGTTGCTGGGAGAGGGGGAGGGGCAGGCTCTAAGAGGAGGCACCAGTCTCTCCCTGAGCTCTTTCTCCAAGGTTCAATTATGGCACATCCATGTGGATCACACTTGATTTTACATAGGAGCTCTATTCAAAATAAAAAGCCAGGAGAAGGGGAGAAGGGGGGGAGGGACTCAAGAGCCATGGCAGATGAAACTGCTGAGCTAATCCTAAAATGATTGCACATCAAGAGATGAGAGCAGTTTTCCAAGAATGCTCACCCATAATGTCACCGTAGCTCCTGACAAAAAGTACCATGGAAGACGACTACATAGAGGCATGTAAGGTTCCATCTCCTGCAATTTTGAAGAAATCACAGCAAAATTCAAAATCTACCCTCAAAGTTGGGAAGCCAAGCAGTAGTCAAAACCATAAATCCCAGTTAAAGTAGAAACCTCCCCCAGAATCCACTACAGCTCAGGGACCGCTACATTCTAGCAGTGGTTCCTTCTCTTCAAGGAGAGACCTTCAGGGCTCTTAAGTGAGATATTTCACACATGATATGAGACATAATGGATACACACTATATCCTCAGGATTGAAACAGAGTGGTATTCAGGGCCTGGTAGATGGGAAACAAAGTCAAAACCTGGGGGCTGCTGCTTAAGTGGACATGCTTTAATGATATTATAGTTTTCTTCTAACTGAACCGAATTGAACTGCATTGCTCTATGATTGCTATACATATCAAATAGGGCACCATCTTTCCATTTACAGTGTTCTGTGTGTTCTTCCACACAGTTCAAGGGACCAGACTTTTCTATCTTGATGTTTGTCTAAGTCAGTAATGGAAGATATTCATTCTATCAGCTGAAATTCTTAGCTATATCAGGAGGCAGTGAGATCTTACGCAAAAAAACTGTTATATAGTAAAAAATAGCTGTCAGCAGAAATCTAAATCATGTAATCCTATCCTTTAGATAGGGAGGATTTTTACACCTTGAGGATTTTTAGGGAAGTCTGAATGCAAACAGAACTTGACAGGCAGAATAGCTGTCCAAGAGTTTCTACTGAATGTGGATGTGTACACATGTGTGTCCAATATGTGTTTGTGTATGCATATTTGTGCACGTGTGTATGTGTCCATGCATACATGTATGTGTTTCCCAATACAGACTCAAATGTGAGGGCTCTGGTCATAATGACCCACTGAAGAAGCACTGCAAGTAAGTCAAAAACCTTGATTTCAAAACCATTCAAGTGGACAATTCACAGTGAATCGATCCATACTGTTTTTCAGCTGGTTTCAAATGTAAACGTTCAGCACATCTTGTTTTTATGGCAATGATTTTAGGCTTGCTTTTAGTTTCCTTTTTATATCATGAAATATGAATAGATACACATCATGTCATTATCATGACAATGTCTCTTTTAATATATTTTCTTAATGTCATACAGCTACTCAAGTTGTTAATGTATTTTCTGAGGCGTTTTTCCCCTTTGCCAATTAACTGAATTTTTGGTAATGTCTCACTAAAAGTTAATGTTTAGTGAATGCATAAATGTCTGAACTGTGAAAATAATTTTGAGTATTATGCCACAAGAATAGTGCCCTGAACAGAGTGGGAAATTCTGCTGAAGAGACTGTGTTAGAGGCATACTCTCTTCTCCCTTTAACAGCATCAGGCCACACAGTGATTATGGATGATGAAAGGTACGGATGCTAAGAATAGGCAGTCAACAGTCTGGTTTTTGAAGGCAAAGTACCTTGCATTTTTCACATAAAAAAAAAAAAAAGAGGTACCAAGAAGTCAAATTACAAAGTACCAACATACAGGTGATTTGCCAGTGAAGGAACCCCAAATCTAGACTTTGCCATCCAGACAGAAGTGCAATGATCTTCCCAATATAATAAATTAAAAGGGACTAGGTGAATAAAATTAGGTCTAATAAAACAATCACTCATAAGCTCGCTATCTTAATACAATACTATTTTAATTTTGGTATATTAACATAGTATCACTTCCATGTGCATATATATTTATATACTAAGTCCACTGCATACACATTATTTTCCATTTTCCTTTTATTTGATTTATTACAAAACTAGGTTATGTCACGACATGAGGCCTTGTATTTGCTTCAAAATCATCTCGTGGCAGGGAGGAGCAATTGTAAATGAAACAAGACTATCCATGAATTAGTATTCTTTGAAGCTGGGTGATGGGTCCAACCTGGGGTTCATTATACTTTTCTATCTACTTTTTTTTTCTAAAGATTTTATTTATTTATTTGATAGAGAGGAGAGACAGCGAGAGAGGGAACACAAGCAAAGGGAGAAGCAGGCTCCCCACTGAGCAGGGAGCCCGAAGCGGGGCTCGATCCCAGGACCGCAGGATCATGACCTAAGCAGAAGGCAGCTGCTCTGCTTTAGACCTGAACCACCTGGACGCCCTCTACTTTATTTGTATATGTTAGAGATATGTGTGATAAACAAGGAAAGATGTTTATAAGATTTATATGTTGGAAAATAATTTTAAAGGCAAATTAAAATATACACTATTATTTGTGCGGCGACCTATGGTGGTGACTCCATTGAGACATGCTGCCTGTGAGTGCCCTGACCTACCTTAGTCACTGCATTCATCTTCCTGTGTTTACACATTGCTTCAAATTCCGGTCTCAGCTGGAGCTGTTGTTGCTCCTCTTCGAAATCCACCAGGTCCCACTCATATTCCATTCTGGCCTGTCGCTGTTTCCAAAACTCCAAAAACAATGTGACTGTAGACAAAGAAATGTGTAAAAACAACTGTAATCAAGGGATGGAGAAATAAAGCCCGTAACAAAATAATCTGGGGCTTTTTTTTAACTCGACTTTAAAAAACCATGTTGGCTGAATGATGGTTCTTCTGTCCACTACTATGTTGGCTTAAGAGCAGGTAATAACACTGAAATAACACATATATAAAAACTCCAGTTAATTTCATAGCAGTCCATGTAAGAAAAAAACATTTCAGGCATGTTACTGTCTCTTGATTCAGATAGTCTGAAGTAATATTTAAACTTAACTTTTTACTAAAACCTAGATTTTGCTTGCATTTTTTTTTTTTTTTTTAGCAAAATCATTCAAGTGATCATACCAGTTTTCGGGCTTAGGTAAATTTAAGGAAAACATGAGAGCCACTCCCATAGCACAATCTCTGTCTGTCTCTCTGTCTCTGTCTGCCTCTGTCTCTCTTTCTCTTTCTTTCTTTATATATATATATACATATAATTTTTAATAAACTTTCAATTGCATCGTAACATATTTACAGAAAAGTACATAAAACACAACTGTACAATTTAAAGAATTTTCACAAAATGAACATTCTCGTGTAATCAGCATCAATATCAAAAAATAGAACATGACCAAAACCCCCAGAAACACTCCCTTATGACTCTTCTAAGATGTAAGTGTAACTAGTATCCTAGCTTCTAATATCATAGGATATTTTCACCTGTCTTTGAACTTTTCATAAATGGTGACTTACCAGAGGTAGTTTTGTGTTAGGTTTTGTTTTGGTTCAACTTTTCTTGTAAACTGAATCCATATTGCTGTGTGTAGCAAAAGTTCATTTATTTTCATTGCTGTATAGTATTCCATTGTTTATGTAAATCACAATTTTGTTTATTCTCAGGTTCATGGGTGTTTCAGCTATTGCCAGGTTTTTTGCTATTACAAATAGTGTTGCTGTGAATGTTCTTGTACATATCTACTGGTGGGCATATGAATGCCTTTCTCTTGCGTATAGATCTAAGAATGGAATACTAACACAATCAATATTAACTTACAATTTTATCACCTGTGATTCCAATTTTAATGTTTCATCTGACTCATTCCCTGCCTACTTTTATTTTCTTTAATTTTTAAATTATTTTTTAATTTTTAATTTTTTTTTAAGTAGGATCCATACCCAGCATGGAGCCCAACACAGGACTGGAACCCACAACCTTGAGATCAAGACCCAAGCTGAGATCAAGAATCAGGCCCTTAACTGACTAAGCTACCCAGGTGCCCCTTTTCCTCCTTTAAAAAATTTTTATTTTGGGGCGCCTGGGTGGCTCAGTTGGTTAAGCGACTGCCTTCGGCTCAGGTCATGATCCTGGAGTCCCGGGATCGAGTCCCACATCGGGCTCCCCGCTCGGCAGGGAGTCTGCTTCTCCCTCTGACCTTCTTCCCTCTCGTGCTCTCTATCTCTCATTCTCTCTCTCTCAAATAAATAAATAAAATCTTTAAAAAAAAAATTTTTATTTTATTGTAAGAACAGTTAAGTGGCTTTCTACCATCTTAAATTTTAAGTCGACAATACATTATTGTTGGCTATAGGCACAAAGTTGTACAGCAGCTCTCTAGAGCTTATCTTACTTAACTGAGACTATGTGCCCATTGATTAGTTACTCCCCTTTTCCCTCACCTCCACTAACCCCCAATAATCTCCATTCCAGTCTCTGATTCTATAAATGTGATTATGTTAGATACTTCCTATAAATGGGATCAAGAAGGATTTCCCTGTCTGTAACTGGCATATTTCACTGACCATAATGTCTTCAAGGTTCATCCATATTGTCACATATTGCAGAATTTCCTTCTTTTCAAGGGTGAATATCAAATGTATATACCAAGAGTATGTGGTGTATGTATACACCACAATATCTTTATCTATTCATCTGTCAATGTGGACATTTAGGTAGTTTCCACCTCTCGCTTATTGTGGATAGTGCTTCATTGAACATAGGAGTTCCAACATCTCTTCAAGATCCTGATTTCAATTATCTGGAGGAAATACTCAGAAGTGGTATTGCTGGATCATATAGTAGTTCTACTTTTAGTTTTCTGAGAAATTTCCATACTGTTTTCCAGCTGCACCATTTAGCATTCCCACTAACAATGTACAAAAATTTATTATAATTCTCCACACCCTCACCAGCTCTTGTCTTTTGTTGTTTTGGTAATAGCCATCCTGACAGGTGTGAGATGACATCTCATTGTGGTTTTGATTTGCATTTCCCTGGTAACTACTGACACTAAGCATTTCTTCATATACCTATTGGCCATTTGTATATATTCTTTGGAGAATGTCTATTTGAGTCCTTTGTCCATTTTAAAATCAGGTTATTAGGGTTTTTTCACTATTTTTTCAAAGACTTTATTTATTTATTTGAGAGAGAGAAAGCGAAAGACAGAGCGAGCATGAGTGGGGAGGGGCAGAGGAAGAGGGAGAAAGAATTTGAAACAGGCTCCAAACTAAGCACAGAGCCTGACACAGGGCTTGATTCCACGACTGCAAGATCATGACCTGAGCTGAAACGGAGTCAGATGCCTAACCAACTGTGCCATCCAGGTGTCCTGGGTTTTTTCACTATTGAGTTTCAGGAGTTCCTTAAGTATTTTGGAGATTCACCTCTTATCAGAGATATGATTTGCAAATATTTTCTGCCATTACATGGGTTGTCTTTTCATTCTGCCATTTTCTATGCTGCACAGAAACTTTTAACTTGATGCAGTCCAACTTGTTCTTGGTTTCTGTTACCTAGGCTTTGGTGTTAAGGCCAGGAAGTAATTGCCAAGATCAATGTCATGAAGTTTCTCCTTAAATTTTCTTCGAGGACTTTTATGTAGTTTCAGGTCTTACATTTAAGATTTTATCCAATTTTGAAGTGATTTTTGTGTATAGTGTAAGATAAAGATTCAATTTCATTATTTTGCATGTAGATATCCAATTTATCCACACCATTTGTTGAAGAGACTATCCCTTCCCCATTTTGTATTCTTGGAACCCTTATAGAAGATTAGTTAACCATATATGTATGGGTTTATTTCTGAACTTCATTCTGTTCTACTGGTCTGTATATCTGTTTTTATGCCAGTGCCATATTGTTTTGATTACTGTAGCTTTGCAATTTTGAAATCAAGAAGTGTGATGTCTACAGCTTTGTTCTTTCTCAAGACTGACCTGGCTACTTCAAGACTCTTGTGATTCCACATGAACTTTTTTCAGTTGTTTTTCCCATTTCTGTTAAAAAATGCCATTGGGATTTTGGTAGAGATCATATTGAATATTTAGATTACTTTGGGTAGTATGGAAACATTAATAATATTAAGTCTTCCAATCCATGAGCATGGGATGGCTTATTATAGTATTCCTCCAAATATTTAGAAATATAGGTATTGTTTGCTTTGCATGGTTACAGTATGCATGTTCCAGTTTCCACGAGTTAGTTACATAACACAAGTCCCCCAGCATGACTCAAAGTTCTGGTACTGCAGTAAATTAATTGCGAATTGTTGCATAAAGTACAAATTTTGCTGTTAGTTCTTCAAACCACAAATCACTATATAAATAGCAGATGGGTATCATGATTAGTGACCAATCACATCACTTTAAATGCTGCTGGTGTTTGAACCACTACAAATCTGTTATCCATTAATGCACAGACAGCAAAGCATTCATTTGTGTTTTCTCCTTGTCTTCCATGTGACATTTTACAAAAATGGATATCAACAGATAGAACTGATCAACAAGGACGAAAGTATAACAAGGAATGAAAAGTGATTAACAAATAAAACATAAGTGGAGTTATAGAAGAAATAGAGGACTCTGAGAATATTGACATTGCTGCCATTTGAGAGACTACACATAAAGCCAGAGAAATCTAGCAAAGGCAATCTTACTGACATAAATGAAGAAAGCAGTTGTGAGGAAGAGGATGATGTCCCATAGGAAGTGATGTCGGGAAAACCTTCAGCTTAAAGGGACTCTCAGTGATGGTTCATTACAATGAACGCATAGAGGATAAGCTAATGCTCACATCAGATTGTTCTATCCTTGGGATACCTTTCCCACCCTTTTTCCCCTATCAAAATCCTATTTTTTAAAAAAATCCAAAACAAATTCCCTATCTTCCATAGTTATCTCAATTCCTCTAGTCAAGAAATAATTCCTTCCTCCTCTGTACTTCCTCAGCACTTAAAATTTAATGAGAGCATGTATTGGATTCTGGCCGAATTAGATTGTGACCTTCTTAAGAACAGGTTATATTTCATTCATTTATTTTTTCACTTTTTAATTTAATACTGACTGAGACAGATGGCTTTTACTCATTTATTCATTTCTTTATTCATGTATTCAGTAGATACATTATTACTAGAAGAACAAAGTTTTAAGAGCATAGTATAATTAAGCAGTGTTTTAGTATTCCAATATTTCCCTGAAGGAGATCTACTTGCATACTTAGAAGCTGCTTCCTAAAGTTTTGGCTTCTTTAGTCAGGCTGCATCTAGGTGCTGATTGAGATCTTCCCCCTTTGGGACACTGATGGCTCTTGGCATACTCCCAAATACTGAGAAGGCAGTGAAGATAATCACAGAGTTTAGAGAGACAACCAAGAGTTCAGACTGGATTGATCAAAAAGATTCATCTCCTATACCAGATCACATGGTCAGGACTGGGAGAGGTACTTGTTTTATCTGATGCACAGAAACCAACACAGAGAGACAAAGCAAATGAAGAAACACAGGAATATGTTCCAAACAACAACAACAAAACAAAAAGAAAAAGAAAATAAACCTCAGTAAAGGACCTTAATGAAATGAAGATAAATAATTTACCTGATAGGGAGTTCAAAATAATGATCATAAAAGATGCTTACCAAGGTCAGAAGAACAATGCGTGAACAAAGTGAGAATCTGAACGGAGACAAAATATAAAAAAGTAATAAACACAAATCAGAGAGCTGAAGAATGCAATACTGTACTTAAAAATTTCAATAGAGTGATTCCACAGAAGATTAGATCAAGTGAATCAAGTGAAGCAAGGATCAGCTAACCTGAAGACAAAGCAGTGGAATTCAATCAGAGGAGCAAAAAGAAAAAAGAGTGAAATCAGCTTAAGGGACTTATGAGGCAATATCAAGCTGACCAACATTTATATTACAGGCTCCCAAAAGGAGAAGAGAGTAAGAAAGGAGCAGAAAACTTACTCAAAGATATAATGGTTGAAAACATCCCTAACATGTTGGGGCGGGGGGGATATATCAAATCCTGGAAGCCAAAAGCATTCCAAATGAGTTCACAATGCAGAGTACTAACCACTATATGAATCACGGCCCCAAATGAGTTCAAAAAGACCCACACTAAGACACACTATAATTAAATTCTCAAAAGTTAAAGGCAAAGAAAGAATCTTACAACAACAAGAGAAAAACAACTTGTTATATACAAGGGAACCATCATAAGACTATCAGCAGATTTTTCAGCAGAAACTTTGCAGGCCAGGAAGAAGTGACATGATATTGTCAAAGTGCTGAAAGACAAAAACTGCCAACCAAGAATATTCTAACTGGCAAGCTCTTCTTCAGAACTGAAGAGGAGATAAAGAGTTTTCCAGACAAGCAAAAGCTAAAGGAGTTCATCACCACCAAGATGGCCTGGCCTTATAAGAAATGTTAAAGGGACTTCTTTGATATGAAATAAAAGAATGCTAATTAGTAACATGAAAACATATGGAGCGCCTGGATGGCTCAGTTGTTAAGCATCTGCCTTCGGCTCAGGTCATGATCCCAGGGTCCTGGGATGGAGTCCCACATTGGGCTCCCTGCTCAGCGGGAAGCCTGCTTCTCCCTCTTCCACTCTCCCTGCTTGTATTCCCCCTCTTGCTGTCTCTCTCTCTGTTAAAAAATAAATAAAAAAATCTTTAAAAACAAAAACAAAAAACATATGAAAATATAAATCTCACTAGTAAAGATAAATATATAGTTATATATAGTTAAATTCAGAATACTTTAATGTGATGGGAATGGGTAAGTCATTTATAAAACTAGTATGAAGGTTAAAAGACAAAAAGTAGTAAAAATAACTATACAATAACTGGTTAATGAATAAACAAGATAAAAAATGTGAATTGTGACATCAAAAGCATAAAAAAGGAGAGGAAAGTAAAAATACCAAACTTTAGCATGCATTCGAGGTTAATCTCTTAGCTTACCATAGACTATTACTAACTATAAGTTGTTTTATATAAGCTTTGTGGTATTCACAAAGCAAGAACGTATAATGGATACCTAAAAGATAAAAAGAAAGGAATATGAGCATACCATTAGAGAAAATTATCATAGCCCAAAGCAGGAGGGCAAGACAGGAAGGAACAAAGTAATTATAAAACATCCAAAAAAAATTAACAAAACGGCAAACGTAAGTCCACACCTACCAATTATTACTTTAATGTAAATAAACTAAATTCTCCAGTCAAAAGTCTTGGAGTGGCTGAATGAGTAAAAAACAAGACCCAACTATATGTGAACTGCAAGAGACTCACTACAGCTTTAAGGACATACATATTGAAAGGGAAGGGATGAAAAAAGATACTCCGTACAAATGGAAACCAAAAGAAAGCAAGGTTAGTTATACTTATATCAGACAAATTAGATTTTAGACAAAGGCTATAATAAGAGGCAAAGAAAATCATTATATAGTGATAAGGACTAGTATTGTTCCTTTAACCTAGAATGTGTTAAGGACTCAAATTTGGCCACGATCCTCAAAAAGCAAAGGTAAACCAATTCACTACTAGAGTAAACTTTTCCCAAAGAACGGATGGTAGCACCTCTTCACAATACTTCAAGGGTCTGTGTGATCCAATTATGGCTGCTTCTCTGTGATGAAATAGAAGGTTGTAGTGGGTGCACAATCTCTCGCATTGGAAACAACTGCAAACTATTGTATTTGCTGTAATTGGTGCACCTCTCATGCACTGTTGATTACGAGTAATGATAGAGGAAGGACTTGGCAGCCGTATGATAAAGATATAGCTGGACTTAGCAAAGTTGGGGTAATTAGAGGATTGTTAGTAAGAATTCTCTGTCCCCTGTTCTTTAAATCTAGGCTGCTCTCTTCACATAGCATTTAGCTCTGCATTTAGCTCTGCTAAATCCCTCTGCTTCACACCCATATCCCCACATTTTGGTGTCTTTTTGCCTGGATTAAGCTACCCTTGTTCTCTTGCCCAGTTTTTTAAATGTACATATTGTTGAAAACTTTTTTCTTTTTTTTTTTAAAGATTTTATTTATTTGAGAGAGAGAGAATGAGAGAGAGCATGAGAGGGAAGAGGGTCAGAGGGAGAAGCAGACCCCCTGCTGAGCAGGGAGCCCGATGTGGGACTTGATCCCGGGACTCCAGGATCATGACCTGAGCCGAAGGCAGTTGCTGAACCAACTGAGCCACCCAGGCACCCGAAGACTTTTTTTTTCAAGTTGGAAAGAAAAAAGTCTATTTTTTCCCAGAGTCCCCTGAAATTTGGGACATGTTTTAGAAGGCTTTAGGCTTCCTCCTGCTGAGTTACTCTTACATAAAATATTTTCCTCACTGATGGCAAGAACAACTTCATGACACCTCTATTTCTCATGTAAAATGAAAAAGATGAAATACTGGGACATTTCCAAAATTAAGGGGAATTCTACTACACATGGAAGATTTTTAACAAATGGAACTGGAAGCTGGAACCAGAATTATACACAGGAAATTTAGATTCAAACATGGATTTGTTAGCCCTCAACAGTTGTTGATTCTTGTTCAACTTTGTGCCCATGATTCAATATCATCCAGCCAACACATATTTATGTGTATTCTTTCCTGCATTAAGTACTTATTGAGCTGGTTTTTTTACCATAGAGCTGGCGGACAGTGTGAGCTGAATACATATAAAGTTTCAAAAATGATATTATCTCTCAGAGAAATAAAGAGATGATTAATAAAGACCTTTTTGGACCAAGGACCAAGGACTACAGACCACCGATGTAGACTCCATCAGTGTACTGATGTTAAGCTAGCAAAGACACAAAGGTCCAAAATCACCTTTGGTGTATAAGGTATGCCATCTGTGTATGTTATATATATGTTATATAGATGGGCCATGTAACACATAACCTGGAGAAAGTTGTTTTTTTATGTGACTATTTACTCACCCCAAATTCCCATGAATATTGCAAAGAACACTGTTGACTCGTTATCAAATAAATGGGAGATCTGTAAAAACAGCAATAACATCACAAAGGCTACTTAGTGTATCAAATGCGATACAAAAAGAGAGAAATTCCAAGTCTTTTCATCGTTCCGCAATCCATACATACCTTTGAAGCCAAACACGTGGTATTTAGTCTCCAATAATCACACACTTGATCACAGAGTGGACACATGATAATTTGACCTCCAATTGTAGGGTCACAGATCTCAGTGCTGCAGAGGGGAACAGCAAAGTTATTTTCAAAGTGATGTGTTTTCAGGTGACAGAACCACTGTTTACATAGCTTCTCACATATGGTGGAGGGGTAATAAAGCAGCAGTTTCTGTAGTTGGTCAAGTCATGTTTTGAGAAACAGAGTATTTAGAGCTGATCATTAAAAACAGATTTTCCATAAAGCACCAGGTGAGGGGCAGCTGTTACGTTTTTTTTTTCCTCTCAAAAATATCAATTATCTGCCTACCATCAGGAAACATTCTGAAAACATGCCAGGGAAATAATAACAACAGTCTCAGTTAGTATAACAGCAAGATGTTCTCTTTGTTTGGGCAATTCAGTTGCACTCACCTGCTTGAGTTACCATCCATTGATAATAAGCCGTAAATGAAACAAGCTAAGCCAACTATAGCTGCAAAGGACAGCATTTCAGTGTAAAATCCAAGAAAGACAAAATACATGGCAATTTTTTCTCCAAAATAATTCCTATGAAAGAAGGTAGAAATAAGATCAAAGGTTAGAAGAATGATACCAACCAGAGAGCTTTGGTTTTATATTCAGACAAGACCTATATTCCTGGCTCCTTTGCTTTCTAGCCCTGCGATTTTGGTAAAGTTACTAAACTCTCCTCACTTTGGTTTCCACAACACAAAATACAGGATGATGCTTATCCACAGAACTGGTATAATGGAGATAGCACACAGAAGTCAGAAATGAACTGAGTATAAGTTAAGTTTTAATTCTGAACTAATAAGGTAATTTGAAAAGCTTCTCCGAAGGGGTACGTGCACCCTGATGTTTATAGCAGCAATGTCCACAATAGCCAAACTGTGGAAGAGCCAAGATGTCCATCGACAGATGAATGGATAAAGAAGATGTGGTATATGTACACAATGGAATATTATGCAGCCATCAAAAGGAATGAGATCTTGCCATTTGCAACGACATGGATGGAACTGGAGGATGTTATGCTGAGTGAAATAAGTCAATCAGAGAAAGACATGTATCATATGACCTCACTGATATGAGGAATTCTTAATTTCAGGAAACAAACTGAGGGTTGCTGGAGTGGGGGGTGGTGGGACGGATGGGGTGGCTGGGTGATAGACATTGGGGAGGGTATATGCTATGGTGAGTGCTGTGAATTGTGCAAGCCTGTTGAATCACAGATCTGTACCTCTGAAACAAATAATGCAATATATGTTAAGAAAAGCTTCTAAGTTTTAAGAAGAGTTTAAATGTATTGAAATAAACTGCAGAACATCCTGCAATGTAACTTCCAGCAATTAAGATCAAATCACATTCACAATGTGAATGAAGTTTGGCTTTATTTCTCTTTCTAATATAAAGAAGGTACCCTGACCACATTAGACAAGGTTCTATGTATAAGCTTCCATCTTCCTGCAATTTTGGATCTCTGAAGGATGTTTACAGGGTTGTGAGATGGGTAGCAAACCAAGGAATTAAAAATGACCACATAATAAGAGTTCTGTAAAATATGCAGTTCGGTTCTTGCTTTACAAAAAGTTAAAAAGTTACAGCATTACATGTCCTAAGTGTTTAAGTCTTACTACCAAGGTTTTTTTCTTGTTTCTGTTTTTGTTTTTCAGATCAAGTCCCCCTTAAGGAATCTGAGAATATAGTTTTCTCTGTCTCAAAAACCTCATTTTTTTAAACCAGATTAATCCTCCTTATTCATATAGAGTTCTGCTTATCAAATCTGTGAAACCTTTCCACAGTTTCCAAGGCAGATAGATGTGATCCCTTCTGGGTTCTGATAGCATGCTATATCACCATCTATTACATCACTTAATATTAACTTAATTTCCATACATGCTCAAAAATACAACTCTGAACATAAGGGTATAAACTTAATTTCACAATATTTACATATTTTCTTGTACTCACTACTAATTTTATTGAGCCTCATATTCTTCAGTACTCAAATGTCCTAATCTTTTCTAATTAAAATAGGCATCTCGCTGCTTATACCATCTTTCATTCTTTTCACTGATTATAAACATTTTTGCACTGTTGTTTTCTCTTGTTCCGTTCCTCAAATCACTATAAACTTGAAATTAAATTATAACTCCATCACAGTCCCTTGTTAATTTGCCACTCCCAAATTCCTTAGGCTCACGCTTAGGGTAAGTGAATTCGTTTTTTTTCTTTTCTTTTCTTTTTTACTGAAAAATACAGCAATTACTTCAATACTGCATAATATCAAAATCTTTTTTTTTAAGATTTTGTTTATGTACTTGAGCAAGAAAGAGAGCACGAGCCAGGGGAGGGGCAGAGGGAGAAGGAGAAGCAGACTACCCACTGAACACAGAGCCCAACACATGACTGGATCCCAGGACCCTGAGATCATGACCTGAGCCGAAGGCAGATGTTTAACTGACTGAGCTACCCAGGCACCCCACAACATCAAAATATTTTAAAAAGGATAAAAATATTTGATTTTATGGAGTTTACTATTCATCATATCTATTTCCACTTGATGTTTTAAAAATTACAAAACCATGGGCGCCTGGTTGGTTCAGTTGGTTAAGTGACTGCCTTCAGCTCAGGTCATGATCCTGGAGTCCCGGGATCAAGTCCCACATCGGGCTTCCTGCTCAGCAGGGAGTCTGCTTCTCCCTCTGACGCTCTTCCCTCTCATGCTTTCTATCTCTCATTCTCTCTCTCTCTCAAATAAATAAAATCTTAAAAAAAAATTACAAAACCAATCATTTTTTGAAGTGAAGATATTAATATTACTGCTATAGATTTAACCTAAAAATTCTTTGGGAATTCAAAAAGAAACCAGATATTTCAATAACCTTAATTTTAAAGAACTACCTTTTCCTCCCTTTTAAATTTCAAGAATCTTACTCCTTGAGAATTAAAAAAAAAGTCTTCAAGAACTCCAGATCTTTAATTAGTATTAAAAAAATTCTTTAAAAGAGAAATTCTCAGATGAGCATTTATTATATATGGAATCATAGAAATTATTTTACTAAACTTTCAATTTGGGAAGCTTAACAATCACAGATTAACAACTAAACCATCTCTTGCAAATGTAAAATGCAAATGACATATCTCAGATTTGTATTATGGCAAAAATGTACACAGTATTGAAATAACCTTTAAGACGTTAAATTATCTCATTATTCATAACAAAGAAAATGAGACAACTCTAATAATATGAGATACTCTATAAAGTCCCAAATATAAAGAGAACCTTTCTTTTGAGTATTGATTTTTAGAAAAATGAGCCTTATATGCATACCTACGGTATTTCTTAATCTGCCCATTTTACTTACTAGACTTTGAACCCATCTGTGGCCCCATAAATAGCACATTGACAGGTAAGAGACATTCATTAATATTGTTTGTGAGACCTGATGAGAAGGCATTGGTCTAATTTTGTATTTCCGAGACTTAGTCTGAGCCACAGCAAATAATCAAAAGAATGATGATATAATTGAGCTGAGTATGGGCTTGAGGAATGAGCAAACAAATGCAAACATTTAATTAAAAGGGGTTCATTTTTAGCGTGAATTTATGGCATCTGAGACACTGAGCTGTTACATTTAATAGCATTTGAATAACACCATTATATTCAATATAAATGTTTATTCTAAGCTATTTACTATATAGGCATATATTAAGTATTAAACCACTCAGAATAGGTGATATCAAAAGAAAAATAGAGAGTGCTCTTAAATTGGAAAGAAAAAATAAGATCAGAGGGCATATAACACTGAAGACTGATAAACCAATGATGGCAACCTCAGTATTCCTTTCTCTTTAAAAATAAAATCTAATATGACAAAATGATCGGTACCCAAAAGACAGCAAAACTATTTACAAATGTTTGAACATGAAACTGAAGTTTGGTGTAGAGGTAACATGAACTATGTGAAATCTCAGAAATCAGACTCCTAAATTCTAAATCTCTTTCTAGCCATCCCAAGGCATCCTGTCTTCCTTTTTTTTTTTTTGAAATTTTCCATATTGAATCATCCACTAAATGAAATAAATTTTGTTATAAAAATCTTTTTCTAATCCATAGTCGCCTCTCTTCCTATTACCAATATCTTGCATGTGACCGTCAATACCTATTCCTGAAAATTTTTAATAGCCTCCTTGCTTCCCTGACCTCAGTCTTGCATCCATCCCTCAACTATCTTCCTTATTTCCAATGAGGTGATGGTTCTAAAGCAAAAACTGAACCATGTCCTTTTCCTGCTTCAAAAGGTTTTTATCCCTTCTTTTAGCAGTGTTCTGCATGATGTTGCTGATAAACATTCAAGTCTCGCCTTCTTCTACTCCTACATGAAGAACTAAATGCCCAGTGTTCTTCCTCAGCCCAGTGCTCTACACTACGTTTTCCTGCCTGAGACATTCTTACCTAACTTGTTTACTTTGGAACTTACTACTTATCTTTCAAGACACGGCTCAAGAATAAGTGCTGTGAAACTTTCCCTGAGCTTGTCACAAAAGTAGGTGCTTCTTCATCCGTGCTCTGTTCTTTCGGGAGTATCGCTCTGTTATAATTATTATGCATTTGGGTGTCTTCCTGTGAATATATTCATAACCATCAAAACCACGTATCTGATTACCTACTCTCTTTTTAAGGATGTTTTTTATTTTTATCATCTTGCTATCAAGTGCTACCAAGTCTCTAAAACTTTTCCTAAAACCATAAAATCAACAAGGAAAAGAAATAGAAGCACACCCAATATAGGCTTTCAGCATCATGACAGAGAATACCATGATCTTCAAATTAACTATAAGAAAAAAACCCAGTTCCAAGAGAGGACCTGCCACCTGTTGTCACAAATCTGAGGTACCAGAGAGCAAGGAAGAAGATGCTTAAGAAGTTCCAGTAAAAAAAAAAAAAAATGTAAAGCAGGGTACAGACAATAAACAAATACAGACAAAATAACCGCCAGGGGGAGAGAAAGATGTAATTAAATGTCATAATACTGAACACATTTTGGGATAGGGTAATTCATAGCACTGGCCAAAAGGCAGGGATCTGAAAATAAGCAGGACTGGAAGCCTCAGAGAAGCAACACTTGCAGGGGAAGAGTCAGATGTAAATGGTGGTACTCCTTAAAGGTGTGGCAGGAAAGAGAAAGAAGAAAATAAGAGGGATCCTGTAGATCCTAGACAATAACCACACACCATCACCCATAAAAGAAACTACATGGAATAGTAAAGGGCTAGCAGAAGAGTGCACTCTAATGCTTGAAACACTGTGAGTTAGAATCAAATAGACAAAAGCAGACCATATCTATACAAAACTATATTAGAAAAACCAACGATGTGGGGCACCTGGGTGGCTCAGTCAGTTAAGCGGCTGCCTTCAGCTCAGGTCATGATCCCAGGGTCCTGGGATTAAGCCCCGCATTGGGGTCCCTGCTTGGCAGAGAGCCTGCTTCTCCCTCTCCCTCTGTCTGCCACTCTGCCTACTTATGCTCTCTCTCTATCTCTGT